AGCACACAGACAGCTCTGTGCGTTGAGTCAAGCAGATCACCAGCAACAGTAGTTTTTCTGCATCTTGTTGCTCACGACTCAGTTTCTGTTTGTAAAGCTGTAGAGGTGTCAGTTTCTGTGCACCCCCCCCCCCCCCCCCCCCCGCAGGCACTTATGAAGATCTGTTCAGAAGCATGAAGTTCTGAAAGAAGATCTAAAAAAGTTAAATCTGGTCCTCTGGACATTCAAAAAACCTACACAAGAAATCCCACACAAGACAGGCTCTAGAGCAATGTGGATATCCTAACTGGGCCTTCCTGAAAGCAGAGAAGAAACCCAAACAGGACTCCAGTCAGCCATCAGGTGAAAAGGAGGAACCCAGACCCAGACCAGTGGTCATTCCATATGTTGAGGGAGTATCAGAGAAACTGAGAAGTTTATTTTCTAAACATAACGTCCCAGTGGCTTTTAAACCCCAAAATACATTATGGCAAAGATTGGTTCAACCTAAAGATCCAGTCCCCCGGCACAAACAGAGTAATATTGTGTATGTTGTTCAGTGTCAGGAGGGCTGTGATCAGTCTTACATCGGGGAAACTAAACAGCCACTGGCCAAAAGGATGGACCAGCACAGAAGATCAACGTCATCAGGCCAGGACTCTGCGGTCTACACTCATCTCCAGGCCAGCGGTCACTCTTTCAGGGATGAAGATGTTCACATCCTGGACAGAGAGGAATGATGGTTTGAGAGAGGAGTAAAGGAGGCCATCTTTGTGAAAAGAAATCGTCCATCATTAAACAGGGGTGGAGACCTCCAGGTTCAACTGTCCCCCTCTTACAATGCTGTGATTGCTAGTATCACTCAGCCCTCTGAGGAGCTACTAATTCTTGTGGGTTTGATTGTGTTTGAAAAGTGAAGTTGTTTGTCTTCATGTTGAGACAGGATGAACATCACAGACTTGGAGTTGTTTGGGAACTAACAGGATGCATAACCTCATTAAAGGTTGTATATGTGTGATGACTGATTCTCAGCTACGACCCCATCAAACTCTAGCTCAGTCTCTGTCAAAGTGACTGAAGAAAGCATAAAGAACATTGATTTGCTGAATTAGGTTTAAATAAGCAGAAATGAGCACAATAATTAGGAAATTAGCTAAAAAGCGGAAATTAGCTAAATAAATAATTAAATAAATAACTAAATAAATGAAATGAAATGAAAAGTAGCTGAAAAGGGGAAAGAATCTTAAACTACCAGAAGGAAATGGAAGGAGCTGAAATTAGCCAAAAAAGTTGAATTAGCTGAAAAAGCTCAATTTAATATAAAACCAGCTAAAAATTAACTCAAATAGCAGAAATAAGCTGAACGAAGTTAGAAGAAGCAAACAAATGTTTTAGTTAGCATAAATAATCTGAAAGGAGCACAAAACAGCTGGAAAAACAGCTGAAAGCAGCTGATTTTTTTTTTTAATTTGCACAAAGAAGTTGAAGCAGAACAAAATGTGAAAGAAGCAGTAAAAGGTTGTAAACAGATCTAAAGATTTGAAGGATGTAAAATTAGCTCAATTAATTTTCTATGAGAAAGAAAAAAGGCAGAAAAGGCAAAATATTTCAAAAAGCTAAAGTTGCACCAATACCAGAAGTCATAGCAGGATTGTACTGGATGAGCTGAACGTTTTGATTTATGTGGTTTATGTGTGGTTTTCAACCAGTTTGACAAGAGTGTCAACAAGGAAGAGGGCCGACAATGGAGGAGGGGCGTACCAAAGACACCATCTAATCACAAGCAGAACTGGTTTGTTCCACTTTGGAGTAAGCTGTTGGAGGAATAATCAGTTTTGTTGTGTTTCCTTGACTGATGAAGCCTTCTGGATCGAAGGCGATACGTTTAAGCACAAAAAAAAAAAAGAACTGTCCAGATGACCTGACTGAAAAATGTTGGATTTTATACTGGATTATTGAGCATGGACTTTGTTGTTTTGATTTATGATTTTGTTGAAATAGTTTGAAGACTGTGGGATGAGAATTGCACTGAAAAATATACGGAATAGATAAAGTAATGCCAGGAATACAGAATAAAAAATATAAACAGTATCACAATAGAAGCATTCACACAATAATAATGTTATTATTTTTTTATTTTTTTTACTAGAGCCTTTTTTTGTGTCTAAGAGGCTGTTTTGTTCAACAGCTGTTCACATGGGACAGGTGTGTTTGTATATAAACTGTATTTTAAGCAGGATAAAAAGCAGACAGCAAAACCAGCTGCTGTTATTGCTAGTATCACTCAGCCCCCTGTGAATAGTAAACAGCCATCAGTGTGTTAATGATCCATTGTTAGGCTGATGGTCCTTCTTGAGCATGTGATCAGCTGGTTTTGGTTGTCAGCAGCAAAACTGGTTGATCCACTCTGAGAAGGTGCTATTTATAAGACTGAGCTGAATACAGCACCTCAGACTGAGGAAGTCTTTCTGATGAAAGACAAAACCTTTTTACTTTTTTTTTTTTTTTTGCTTTGATTTGTTTTTGAATGTCCAGAGGACCAGATTTATCTTTTTGTAGATTTTTCTACCTGGATTATTGAGCATGCATCAGGATAAATGTAGAACTGCCTTCTTCCACCTGTGTTATATCACTAAATTTAGAAACATCTTGTCTAAAAATGATGCAGAAAACTGGTCCATGCATTTGTCACATCTAGACTGGACTATTGCAATGGTTTATTATCTGGGTGTCCAAATATTTCTTTAAAACGTCTTCATTGGCTCCCTGTCAAATCCAGAATTGAATTCAAAATCTTTCTTTTAACCTACAAAGCTCTCAACAACCTAGCTCCATCTTATATTACAGATGTTATTGTTCCATATTTTCCTAATCGAGCACTTCACTCTCAGACTGCAGGTTTACTTGTGGTTCCTAGAGTTTCCAAAAGCAGAATGGGAAAAGGATCTTTCAGTTATCAGGCTCCTCTCTTGTGGAACCAACTTCCAGTTTCTGTCCATGAGGCTGACACATTGTCCAGTTTTAAAACTAGGCTTAAGACTTTCATTTTTGACAAATCATATAGGGTTGGCTTGTCATGCTGCTTTAGACTGAGATTTCTAGAGGATAAATTGACCTCATTTCCTTAAATTAATTGTTACAACTAAATAGTTTTCATTTGATTTTATTTCTACCTTAACATGTGATTCTCAACCTGCCATTGTGTATCTGTTCCTCCTTCCTGTTCCTACCAAATCCAGCCGGTTGAAGCAGATGACCACTTGTCCTGAGCCTGGTTCTGCTAAAGGTTTCTTCCTCGTGAGAGAGTTTTTCCTTTCCACTGTTGCCTTCATGCTTGCTCAAGATGAGAGTTCTGTGATTGACTTAAACTCAAAGCAGTCTGCTCCTCAGATAAATAATGTTAAAAAATTATTTTTATGCATGAATATTTCTGTTCAGTGCCCTGAGACGACTTCTGTTGTGACTTGGCGCTGTATAAATAAACTGAATTGAATTGAATGTTTCACACTCAGACTTTCAAAGACATGACTATAATCATATCCTGCATACATATGTTAACATAATAATAGCACATTTTATAGTATAGCACTTATGACACGGAGCAGGAGAAATAACTGCATACTAATGAGGTATTAATATATGTGTGGCTCCACCATGACACATATTTAGCTCTGCAGTAATCCTCCAGCATGTCTAAGATCGATAACAACTCATTGAGACTGTTGTGACAATTTTTTAACTGTTTCTACCCATTTAAAGTAGGTGCTAAATTTCACATGAGCTTTTCATGTAGAACCATTGCAGTAATATTCCACAGTGGTCTGTTTTTACAAACCCAAAAGTGAAATGTAATTTAGATCTTGTTTCATTAAAGTGTCTCTGGTTACGTCTAAGTTGCTTGTTAACTTGGTCACACGCAGTGTTTGATGGTGGTCTCCTTTGAGCGGCAGCGACAGGGGCTCATCTGGCATCTAATCTTGTAAAAGAGCCGATGGCCGTCTATTCTGTCCTCTAATGAGATTACACGTGCACTGTGAGTCCCACCACAGGTCATCAGTGCTGAGGCCATTTAAAGGCAATTATTGTTTTAAATGATCGTCGCCATCTCAGAGCGACTGTGTGTGGCGATGAGGAAGGGAGCTTTGAGGCAGACTGAAAGCTTCATATTTCCTCTGCAGTTGGAACTTAAATGTTTTCACACTCCGACTGTTTCCTCAGGCAGCCGAGGTTACATGTTTATTGTGGCTGAGATGCTTGTAATTCTCATCAGTTCATAATCCCAATTACAGAGACTTAATGTGTTGCATGAATTACGACTTTCTTAATGTTCTGGACTTTCAGTTGCTTCTTTTGTATCAAATAATAGTTTGTACTCTTTTGTTTCAAGAGCAAAACACTCCAGATTTATAACTATTTTCCTTTAGATTTCTCCAGTGTGCGTGTGTTTGGCATGTGTGTGTGTGAATTATCCAAGAAGGCTCTGTTTTGGTGGATCAGTGGGAAGTGGCGGTCCACTGGGATTGCCTTGCCTCTTTGTACTCCTGCTGACAACGAAGGACTCACAGTCAGTCTGAAGGGAGAAATTATGTCCCAGAGCAGTCTGAGAGAAACAGAGATCCACACACTCTACTTCTCACATGCTGCTCATGTGGGGCTTTGACCTCAATAAGCACTGCTGTTGTATTCACAAAGCCCTTAACACCACGTGCCTACCGTTTTTAAAAGCTGTAACAAATTGGGTCAATAAAGTTCAAATAAAAAAAAAATGGTGAGGTTGGACTGGACAAACTATCCAGTTTGGCATTAATATTACCAACTAAAAGAATATAACTCCAATTTTTAGTTTGGATGTTAAATACACCTTCATTTTTATAGTTGAAATGACATTACAATTACAGTGTCAACTTTACTTAGGTTTATGCTAAAATAAGTCATTCAATGGATTGTTTCTTACAGTAATCAAAAGCATTGTGTCCGTGTAAGAAATTAATGACCACATCTTTTTTCCTTTGTTCCAACAGGGAAGGAGGAGCCAACCACCTACACCTGCACTACCTGTAAGCAGTCTTATGGCAGCGCCTGGTTCCTGCTGCAGCATGCTCAGAATACCCACGGATTTCGTATTTACCTGGAAAGTGAACATGGCAGTCCTCTCACCCCACGCATGGGTGGGCCTTCATCCTTTGGAGGGGGCGCTGATTGCCCCTCACAGCCTCCCCTTCACGGCCTTCATTTGCCTCCTGATGCCAGCCCGTTCAACCTCCTCCGCATCCCCGGCTCAGGCTCAGGTGGGAGGGATAGCGTTGGGGCAGGGGGTGTCATTGGCGCCAGTGGTCCTGGTGCTGGGGGCCATCATCAGCGTTTTCCTCCAACACCACCCCTCTTCAGCCCCCCTCCGAGGAACCATCTGGATCCCCACCACCTGAGCCCAGAGGAGCTGGCGCTGGCAGCCCACCACCCGAGTGCCTTTGACAGAGTGCTACGCCTCAATCCTCCTCTGCCTCTAGATCCCCCTCCAACAATGGACTTCTCAAGGCGGCTACGGGAACTGGCGGGCAACACCTCAGGGTCCACTCCCCCACTATCTCCCAGTCGACCCAGCCCCATGCAGCGTTTACTCCAGCCCTTTCAGACAGGAGGAAACGGAAACACAGGAGGCATTGGGGGTAGTAAACCTCCATATCTTGCCACTCCTCCACCTCTTCCAGGCTCCATGCAATCACCTGTGGGCTCTCAGACCACTCCTACAACCCCCCTCCCCTCAGCAAGGGCAACACCTTCCTCCACCACTCAGATGAAATCAAAGTGTTGTGAGTTTTGTGGCAAATCCTTCAAGTTCCAGAGTAATTTAATAGTGCACAGGCGCAGCCACACAGGAGAGAAGCCGTACAAATGTCACTTGTGTGATCATGCTTGCACACAGGCTAGCAAACTGAAACGTCACATGAAGACACACATGCACAAATCTTCCTCGCCAAATACAGGCAAGTCAGAAGACGGCTTATCAATAGCTTCATCCCCAGAGCCAGGCACCAGTGAGCATATGGGCAGTGCAAGCAATGCACTGAAGTCAGTGGTGGCCAAGCTGAAAAGTGAGAATGGCCGCATGTTACGTGAAAATGGGGAGGAGGAGGAGGAAGAGGAGGAGGAGGAGGAAGAAGAAGAAGAGGAAGAAGAGGAAGAAGAGGAGGAAGAAGAGGAAGGAGAGGAGGAGGAAGTGCATAATGGTGAGAGGGCAGTCAAAAGAAACAACAGTTATCACTTTGGATTACACTTGGAAGGAGCACGGCAGCATGAAAACAGTGGAGGTATCGGTCGTCGACTGGGTGGAGTAGGTGATGATGTGGCTATTCCTTGTTCACTCCCTGAGGTCATGCAGGGGATGGGTCTGGCTGCCAGCATGCAACACTTCAGTGAAGCTCTCAATGCACATAAGCGAAATGCCATGGCCCAAGAGAACCATCTCCATCATCACCTTAACCGAGACCGTCACCACAGTCATGAAATATGCGATGGAGACTCTGTTCTCGAAACAGACCGTGGAGAAGAAAGCTCTGTTTCAGTTGTCAATGGACGAGGAGCATCTCCTAATGAGTCTGCCTCTGTTGGCCTCTCCAAAAAACTGTTTCTAGGTAGTCCCAGTCCGCTCAGTCCTTTCTCTAAACGCATCAAGCTGGAAAAAGAGTTTGATCTTCCTACCCCCACAATCCCTAATACAGAGAACGTCTACTCTCAGTGGCTGGCTGGCTATGCAGCCTCTCGACAACTCAAGGACCCTTTTCTGAACTTTGGGGATTCCAGACAATCACCCTTTGCATCATCGTCCGAGCACTCCTCAGAGAATGGTAGTCTGCGTTTCTCAACCCCTCCGGGAGAGCTGGATGGTGGGATGTCAGGCCGTAGTGGGACAGGCAGTGGAGGCAGCACGCCCCACCTTGGGGGTCCTGGGCGGCCGAGTTCCAAGGATGGACGCAGAAGTGACACTTGTGAGTATTGTGGAAAGGTTTTTAAGAACTGCAGTAACCTGACAGTGCATCGGCGCAGCCACACTGGAGAGAGACCGTACAAGTGTGAGCTGTGTAATTACGCATGTGCCCAGAGCTCCAAACTTACTCGCCACATGAAGACCCATGGTCAGGTGGGCAAAGATGTGTACAAGTGCGATATTTGTCAGATGCCCTTCAGTGTTTACAGCACCTTGGAGAAACACATGAAAAAATGGCACAGTGACCGACCTTTGAGTACCGAAATAAAGTCAGAGTAAAAGACAGAACAACGGGACCTTTTTCCCACAGCTGTGTCCACCATAAGCCTCCTGTTCATTCCCAGCCCCCTTGTAGATTTGCTCCAATTCCAATAATCTAATTTTGCCAGTCTGGTGGAAGCTTAAGACCATGTGCTCTGCACCAGCACACCCCGTTTCCATTACCCATCGAATGCATGATCTGTATCGGGGCAATACTCTTGCATTGACGCAAAACTTTGAGCCTTTCTCTTGTGCAATAATTTACACGTTGTGTACTAATTATTATTTCTGTTTTATTTTCTTTGGCCATTTTTAAAGATTAGTCAGCATGCATAGTATGTTTTTGCTAATCAAAAAAGGAAAAAATTCAGAAAAGAACTTGTCTCTGGTTGGTTAGTTGTTGAGTAAATGTGTTGCTGTTTTCTTCTTGTTATTTTTTCTTTTTATTCTTCAAAAAGAAAAAGAAAAGAAAATATATCCATGCTGCATACATTCTGTAACACATATCATGTACAGTTTTGCTTTGTAACATGGACATGAACAGTCTTTTACTTGACCCTCTTCTTACAACCCTGGAAATGCACTTATCTTGATCTTTCTAAAAGATTCCACGTTCACACAGGGTTTAGAATAAATAAATAAATAAATAAATCATGCATAGGCTTGACAACTAAACTGAAAGTGATGCGAGCCTTCAAATTTCTTTCAAAAAGACAAAGGTGGAATAAGTAGTCCATTTGTACTCTCATTTGATGGAATAAGAAAGAGTGCCTTTGATATCCCAAGACTGCATTGGCCACAGTCTTCTCTGGTTTGAGTTTGGGGTCTGAAAAAATTTTAAGCCAACCAGGAAAGGTCCTTGCATCAAGCACCTGACTGCTCAAATGGACTGTGATCACTCGTGGTGAAAGGTTAAAAGCATCATTTAGCTACCTATCATATGTTCAATATGTGGAATTTCAAGGCACGCATGGTACAAGCAGTATTGTGTATATTTGAATTATTTGTAGTTTTGTTTCTGCTAGGAAGGTACTTTTGAGATAAAAGTAATCTGTAATGTACAATCCTGAACTTGAGTGACGTGGCACATTGCTGACAAGTGTCATATATCCGCGTTAGCACAAACCTACAACGCTGCTCCAGAATGTCAATGTGTGGAATAATGCAAAAAGTAATATATGAGCTCAAAATGAAACAAACTTTGGTTGAGAGCATTGAACTAATTACAGGCTAGACAGACAGAAAGCTCCACAGACCTGTGCGTGTTACTGGGATCAGAGGCAATGTCTTTCACTAACATTTTTATTATTAAAACAGGGTCATCTGTTAAGACTGGCAGAGAATTAGAACTATATTCCAGGGCTCCTGAGAAATGTTTCATGTCAACCAGTATCTATCGTCTAATAATGCAAGGCAGATTTTTTTTTTTTTGTTTGTTTGTTTGTTTTTTTTTGTTTGCTAATGAGTTTTAAACCAAAAGGAGCAGGTTTGTTCCATTAGTTTAATTGATGCTGCTTATGTTATGCATTCCATTTGTTCATGGAAGCCAGGATTTCAGAGCTACAGGTAAAACAACAACAACAACAAAACCTACTTGAATGGCCCTCTAAGGTCCAAATTCTGATTAGAACATGAGCGGTCTCTGATCAACCTTGACCTCCAAATCATATATGGCTTCCTAGCATGAAAAGTGGTGACAGCTGCAGTAATAAACCTTTTATTTACACTCCTGCTGGTTTAAATGCCATAAAAAATACATTATTTTACAATCTTTATTAGGAAACGTGTAGCTGCAGTATGTGAAAGCATAGAATGCAGAAGGATATAAATTTGGTTTGTGTGTTACTGAACAGAACGATTAGCATATCCAACTGGACCATGGTTCAGTTGGTTGCGATGTCATTCCCAACTCTAACCTATGAGGTAAACATAACAGAGCTAGGCTAAATATAAATATGAATAATATCTTGTTGTTGAGACAATGTACCAACAATACTTTTGGATTATCTCCACTGATGCAGGTTTGGTAAATGGGCCGAGTCTAAAAGCTGGATTGGTTTGACATGAAGTGCATTAATTCAGTTAGTTTACACTGAAGGAGACACCTTTACCTAACACCGTCACATGACGAGGGTCATGTCATGTCATAGGGTCATCGCTACAAGCAGTCCAAGATGACGCACAGAACCTGTTACTAGCAGCTTCAGCCTCATGGCCCTTAATGTTTGTTGACTTCTCCATTGACCATTTGTAAGTTTGTGCACCCTGGAAACCCCAGCAGTCACCAGGGGTGGGGCGTTCACTGTTCCCAGTAAAGTCAGGCCATAAAAAGTTCTAGAAGCGCTCCTGTCTGGGAGCAGACTCCTACTGCGTTTAGTAACATGTTTTTTCTTTACAAGCAGCTGTGCTTTTTCATCTCACACAAATACATAAATAAAATAAAACAGCTGAATTAGTGATGAACCTTGTTGCTTTTACAAATTGTGTTGCCCCAGAGTCAGTTTGTGTGTCCTTCAATCATAAAAATCAAACATTTTGGGGAATAAAGCTCTTCTATTTTTTAGGGGAAACTGTTTTTAGGTTTTCTTGTTGTTTGCCCTCAGCATGTTGGTGGTATTCAAGACTCCAATCACAGCGTAAATGAAATAACATGTACACCAAACAATAAAATTTTTTTTAATTACTTTTTTATTTTTATTTTGCCTTGGCTCTTCACAACTCTTCAGGATGAGATCCAAACTGCATCGAGGAAAAGGACTAAATATGAATATATGATATAGAAGTTAAAATCTAGAACAATGCACACTCCTGTCGATTCCTGTACTTACACACATTTATGGTCTACTTTTTCTGTATTTCTAGAATTGTATTTGAATTCAATGTTCACTTAGAGTAGGCACTATAGTATTTATATTGAGGCTCGTATTTTTAACTGTTGCTTGTTCTCTCTGAAGGTATTTATTATACCTTTTTGGTAGTGGAAAAAAAAATCCCAAGCTGCCACGGTATATTTTTTTAATTTGGCAGGATAATATAGTGCGAATTATTTGTATGTTAAAAGAAATAATAATAATTTAAAAAAAAATTCAATAAAAAAATCTGCTAAATATGAGGGGCTGGGGTGCACTGCAGGCCATCAGATGGCTGCTGGTCGGGTTCTGGTCCACGGAGGTGGTTGTACATATCTTTTTAGGGTTTTGGTTCCCTCACTCCGCTGCCATCTTTGTATGCAGTAATGAAAGCAGATGTTGGCCCGTTCTGTTGTGTGCTTCTGTCTCTTTTTCACCTCCCACCTGACGACATTCCAACATCGAGAAGAGGAAAAAAAAAAAAACATATGCAGTACATGGATTACATTTAAAAATGTTAAAAACCATTAAAAAAAGGATGATTTTTTTTCATTGCCAAATACTAAATGGTGCTTTATATTTAGATTGGGTGGATATACTTTGATATGCAAAGCATATTTAACAATGACCAGGGAGACGTGGAGAAGCCTGCTTGAGTTAAGACTTTTTTGTAAATGGCAATGCGGAATATTTTGTTATCAGCCTTTTCTATTCCTGTTCTGAGAGCTGTTTGTTGTAACTTGAACTTGAACTTTATCTTTTACAACGGGAGTTACTATTTATTATCACTAAAATGCTCTGTTCAAAACAGGGGCATGACATGGAGTCTTATTGTTGGTTTCTTTTTTATTTTTGTTTATGATATAATTTTATTATTATTGTGTTCTTTTTTGTAATGGCGGCCAATGGTCATTGGACAAAACAAGCTCTTTAATTTTATTGTACTTGTTTGGGGTCTCTGTTTAGTTGTAATGGGAATACCACTGTCTGTGTTTTCTGGCAGATGTCTGCATAATCCTGTTCACACACCCATTTTGTCCCTTTATTGAAAAACAATTAATAAAAAAATGAAAGTATAATGAAATTCCTTGGTTTTATTTCATTTCAGATGTGTATGTAGTATCTGATTATTGTCGCCTCACAGTTCAACACAACTCTTATTAGTTTACGAGTTTGACAACTGCTTTAGAGACAAACCTTTAAATTTACTTACTGACTTTTGTGACATGGTGCATGCAGCAGTGTGCTTGAAAAACTAAAATGCACAAGTGAGTTTGTTTTTCCTGCAAATCTCTGTCAGTGAAACCCCAAAAGGTAAAAACATGGCAGAAATTACAACAAACTAAACACACAACTTAATGAAAGACTGCATTGATTTGTAAGTTGCACATGGTGAAGTTCCACATTCACTCACATTATGAACAAATATAACCAGACTACACTTTAGTGCACTGCCATGTATAGTGTGTGTGTGTGTGTGTGTGTGTCACTTATACCAACGGTGACCTCTCCACATAAATACTGTCTGATGAGAAATCACTGTCCACATTGAACCCATTAAACACTATGTCCAACTTTGTCTCAGCCTTTGAACTTGTACTGGCTGAACTTTGTTTCCTGTGCGTGCATGTGTGTGTGTGTGTGTGTGTGTGTGTGTGTGTGTGTGTGTGTGTGTGGTTATGTTGCCCATAGGGGTTGTAGAACTCCTGACACTCATGTGTCTGCATGCAACATCCTATTTGCTGGTCTTCACAGAACACTTGCTTTTAGAGCAAATGTGTGTGTGTCTGTGTGTGTGTTCATGCTAGCTGTCCCCTATGTGCTTTTCACTTTAAGTTGTACATACTCATCTAAGCCTGTACATAATATGCATAGTATGAACACAAACAGGTTTGTACTTGTACAAAACATGCCAAAGCAATTATCACTATGTCTGTTTTACTCAGTGGTATAAGTACTGTGGTATGTCTGTTTTACTCAGTGGTATAAGTACTGTGGTATGTCTGTTTTACTCAGTGGTATAAGTACTGTGGTATGTCTGTTTTGCTCAGTACTCACAAACCCTTAGAAGTCTGCCATCAGGATCAATCAGACCAATAGATTAAAGCGATCTATGTTACACTTTTCATACGTGTGTGAGAAGCATCTTGAAAAACTAATGAAATGACTGCTACAACACAAATGATTGTTTTAATCGCATGAGTTGGGTGTTCTTTGTATGTTTTTTTGTTTAAT